ATCAGACGAGATTGGTGAAAAAGAACGACCAACACCCAAAATTGACGCGCATATTCACCCAAAACAACGTTCGATCGCAAAACGGATTTCATCGTTGTGTTCGAAACACCGACAATACCTAATACAGACTATAATGCGCGAATTTTGAAGAAATGCATGCAAATCAAAGGGTCAACGCACAAAATTTAAAACATGTAAGTTTTTTATTGATTTATACAATTTTAATGATATTATTATTATTATTATTATTATTATTATTATTATTATTATTATTATAACTATTATAAAAAAAGATAAATTTAAGCTAACCTCGTATCCCGTTGAAATCCCTAGTCAAATCTCTGGAAATCCTGCGTAAATAACGCAATTCAACTGCTCTATAAGATGTCGCCATAGTGTCCTCCTCAAATGGTGATGGGAAGATCTCAATTTTGGCAATTTAAAACATGAACAAGCAGGGCTTTGACTCTTTCCCATCTACATGCAAACAAGATCCCCCACAGTGGAATGTTTTCCTTTGTTCTCCCACTCCTGCTCACGATCACTTCCCACGCAGTCGTAAGCCTCAATCTGTTCGATCTACCCAACCCCAACCGCAGTTCTTCCGCTCCAATCTTTCCCTCGTGCAGGACCATGACCGAACTTCACCCGACGTCTATTTTACCTACTCCTGAACCTCCAGCCACCCTCGATCGGTGCTGCAACGGAGCGCCCCTTTCACCTTAATTGATCAATCTTCACGCCTTAAGCCCAAACAAAGCTCCATCTGACTTTCTTCAGCACCAATCCCTCTACACAATCTCGATCCACCTGAGCAATCCACACAGCCGCAACTACACCTCTCGAACCGACCTCAACCCGTGCGGTTCTCAACACTTGCGGCCGACCCTACAACCACTCACTATATCCGTCCGACCTACCTGAAGATCCATGCCGAAGCCCCTTCCTTCTAGAAATCCAATTCCAGTAGCCAAGTATTCAACTCCTCTTCCCTTATCTGAGCCCCTCTTCTGCCTGGATAAATGACTGTCTCAGCTCCTTCATGTGCTGTTACCTTACCCAATCATTTGAAACCAGTTCAGCCCAAATAACCAATAGCCATCTATCACTCCATCTCCTAGTCAAAATCAGGCAAACCTCTCTATTATCTCCTTTAATCGTGCCATACATATAGTTACATTCACAAAATTTGAACAAAAGCAACCTATTTTTTGTTATTACTTTTAGTATTATTAATTATTACTATTAATTACTGTATTTATTATCTATCATTCTTAGTATTAAAAAAAGAGAAAAAGGAAATTAAAAAAAAAAGAGGAAGAAAAAAAAGAATGAGAAAATGATTTTTGTGTGAATTACCTCGATCCTCGTGCCACCGATACAATCGTCGTCGCTCATTGCTCAGGTATAATTACTCCTTTAAACTCAAAACCCTAAAATCCCATTTTCAGGGCTCGCGACACGCTGGCGGATCACCCTACATGCTCTCATAGTGTGGTGGGAGGGAAACCCGATGCGATGGTTGCGGCGAGGCAAATAGGCCTCTAAGCGCTCTCGTAGCGTGGCGAGGATAAAACTAAGTACCTGTGTTTGCCTCAATGCTAGCAGGGAAAGACAAAAACTGCGCATCTTTCAAAAAGCTACCTTAAAGACTCCTACACACTCTCGTAGCATTGTAGGATTGAAGACTACGGAGTGTCACCTGACACCTATCTTACGTGCTCTCATAGCATAATAGAGAAGGCTCAGCTCCCAAAATTCCCCCTAAACGGGGAAGATGTTGGGAGACTGCCGAAATTCAAATGACGGAGGACCAGAACTTCAAAAAATACGAGGGACCTGTCCTAAACTACAAAGACTTTGCTTGAACGAAAATGCAGGGTACTGAACATGTAAATCGGACTACTGGGAACAAAACTCAATTCAAATAGCAGGAAACTGGACTTTAAATTCTAAAAGGCACAACGAAATTGAAAAGTGCGAAGTGCTAATTAATAATCTTGACCATCCAAACGAACATCAATGTGCAAATAAGAACTTGAAATAAACACCAATGAACAGGAAATGCTCGCATTGAATATTAATGAAAAGTCTTATGTTGGACACAAGTCCAAACAAATGCACCAAGCTATAAAAAATCTCTAATGCATACAATGAACTATTTATGAGTGGTAGTAGGGGACTTGCAGTGATACATTCACGAGCAAAGCATGAAGACACAATGACCATATTAACTTCCCTATAGTCAACATTAACTTATAAGCACACATATCAAATCCCCGCAAATAATGAAGGACGATGCGTGATGGATATGGTGAACTCTTGTAAATGGCAACATTCAATATACGAACTCTTGTAAATGGCGACATTCATTGTTCAACGAATAATAGGAAACTCCTTGCAAGCATCGATAGGGGAGTTATGTCGAATGCAACATACCATTTACCGACAAAAATGACGAGCTTGTAATATATGCAAGCACTCACGAGCATGTGCTGATGGCGAAAACCTGTTGACGACGATGAGAGATTTGTCACATGTACAATAAGCTTACGAGTGTTAATCAGTAACAGGAAATGAATGCAAAAATGCCCTACAGACAACTTCAACATGTGGGAAAACACATACAATTGTGCAAACAACAATGATCGATTACGCAATGCATCGTCAACCAAGGGGTGTTTGAAGAATTTGAAGTGAATGCGGCTTGCATGTAACTAATGTTGCTGCAAGTAAATACACTAAGCTGCCTGTGGGTAATGATTGTAAGCATGGTGCAAATACAAGGTTCCATACAAACATATTTAAGCAGATTGCGGCAAACGTACAAGAAATTCACTGTGCACAGTAGCCCACCTATAGATGACGATGAACAACATATAGTAGATGCCAAATTATTTCTACAGCTAGTATTAAGCCAACATCTAGCAAATACACTAATCACCTGAAAGCAAAGATGGGTGATACGCAAAAAATGCAAGCATCTACAAGCTGCCATAGAAGATTTGTCATATGCATAATGTGTTATCTACAAGCTAGCATAGAAGCCTGCGATGAGTGCAAGCATCTATTAGCAATTGTGGAAGTCTTATATATTAGTGCACGACAATCTACTTATATAAAGCAACAAAGGAATTCCAGCATAGCACAATGCCAATGGATTTGCAATACTCGTACAAGCAGACATAAGGCATCTTCGCACAGCTGACCAGTATCAAGCGTTTTAAAATACCCCCCCCCCCCCTCATGAATCGAAAGAGTCTGGAACTATATACTTGTAACTGTTACATAAATACGTTATGCAAAAATGCATGTAAAAGTATATACTCGCATGGACCCCGACGAGCTTGTTGCATGTACACACGTAACTTCTGAGGATGCTATGCGGGTCAAACTTGAACTTAAGTTTGAGCTCGATCCTTTTACATGAATGGATAGGAGTCGACATGGATCGAACTACCAAACAAATATACAGTCACAACATCGACCAAAATATTTTTTTGTATACGTTCATATTAGGCCTTCAAGGCTAATAACAAAAAAGTTTACTAATAAAGGCGTAAAGTCAATAATAAACCTTGATGATGACCGTGTTGACATAAAATCTCAACTAGATGCGACCTTAAATACTTGAAAAATCCACCCAAACGACCATAAAAAGCTCAAAAATAAAACACTAACAAAATTTAAAATATTTAAAATTAAAATAAATCATCAAATACTTAAAGAAGAATCCGTCCACCATCTGCACTAATTTACTGATCTGGACAAACCTTGAAGTCACTTTAGCTCACAAAGAGCGAATGTCTGATTGAGAATATCACTAGGATTTATTCTAAACAGTTTCTTGCCAGTAAGGATATAGCACGTGTCCTCTAACCAGTGGCTTCACCGCCAAATGGTACCACAGTTAAAAGATTATTACCAGGACCCTCTAAACCTGATGGTTTTGCCGCCAAATGGCACCACTAAATTATGATCATAGTCATATCCTGCATGTTCCCTAATGGCTTTAAATCATTGGGATATGAATCAATAGGATATAATTGATAGGGCATAAAACCCTCTATTAGATAAGGTGAGTTCAGATTTGTCCTCTTAGACAAATATTCACCTCAGGTCTACAAGGTACCCTTAGATGAAAGAATCCATGGTTGCCGACAAGAATCCTTCTGTCTGGTTGGGTCGTCTGACTAAGTAGACCAGGGACAATGATGATCCGGGATGACAGAACCATGATATCTTGATCTGATTAATCATCATTCCCCCACCATCCACTTTAAGTACAAGGTGGTGAAATTTTTAATTTTAAATATCAAATTTCAAATATCAAAGCTCATGCTGCTACTATACACCATATACCACATACCTTTACGTATTTGTTTGACGACTAGCCTTAATAAAAATTTGTCTCCCACTATCGGGAGGGGTAATTAACTATAGGGGCTTACGCCTATAGGAAACCTGAATTCATATCATAAAGTTCTCGCAAAATGAGGGCGAAATCTCTTGGTAATACCTATTCAAAACCCAATCTGCCTTCTAAAAATTTGCCTCTAGAACTTAAATGTTAAAACTCTCATCGACGACTCGAAAGAAAAGAAAGAAAGGGGTTTGCGGAGAGGCCGGGGCATGAATTTTCGAAACCCACAAGAAGTGATCAAATATATTTCAAGTATTTAATTTGAGTTCATTTGGACTTACATCGGATCATTTGTGATGTTGATGGGTATGTATCGTTGAGATGTTAAGTTCAACTACAAGTTTGTTTAATTTAGATTTTGGATGGTCCTGATTTTTTTAAGAAGTTTATGATTTGAATATTATCTCAAGATTCGTGCCGATTAACTGGATTTTTTGGAGACATCGATATAGTGATGTTTTTTTTTCTTTTCTTTTTGTACTGCTTTGATTTTAAAAATTTGATGTTCTTACTATTGAATTTTATTTAATTATTTTGTGCACTGTATTATTGCTATTAAAAAGTTCACTTTATACAGCTATGACTTTCCCTTTAACCCTACCAAATTTATTCCTTTCTATGGAGGCGCGGAGTACCATGATTATCACCATTATGTTGGTGGACAGAGCCAAAGCAACTTTGCATCAGTATTTACCTATTGTGATTACATTTATGGGACTGACAAGGTATTACTTAAACCATTTTTTTCTGTAAAGCTTATGATTGCTTTGTAAAATGGAATCTGTTTGCTAATGCCTCAGTACTCTTTTCTATTTCAGGGCTATAGATTTCAGAAAGCACACCTTGCAAAGGTAAGTTTACATCCTCTTGCCATAATGATCTTCATTTTGATGCCTTTATCTTGGAGCATTTTCTGCAAGATTGCAACTATAAACTCATGGATTGGTTGCAAAAGAGTTAAATCGCAAGTTGTTATTCATCATCTATTGGAGAAAAAACTTAGAACCCTTCTAGGCTTTTTCTTCAATTGATATTAAATAAGAATTTATTGAATTAGTACTGCACTTTAGCGGCAATTCAATTTATGATTTATGGCTAATTGTACTGCATGCTGATAGATAATATATTTAATCTGATATTGATTTTAATTATATTCAAGAAAATGCGGATTTATCAAATTTAAAGTTGTTTTTTTAAAATACTTGTGTAGGAAATCAAGTAACTACTACATATCTTTATGAGTAATGTCTCAAAGCCCTCACCTGACGACGGTTGACCCTGCATGCTAAAAAAATTCATAGCTTATGGCATACCTAACAGAACAAAAGGGAAAAGATATGGACAAAACTTTGAAAGTTGAAAATCTTGATTAAAATTTTGGAAGTTGAAAATCTTACAAAATCTCATTGACCTACAAAATACCTGTCTTTTAGTAGGAATTTGAGTGCCTTAATATTTGTGCCGGCGGGTGGCCTCATTAGATTCTGCCGAGAGATTAGTTACGCCGTCAAGCGCTTCCTTTAAAGTGGCAGTGGGTAGATAACCCTGATCACAAAAAAAATTGTAGCTCCATTGTGTGAGGTTAATAATGGCAACCATTCTTCAAATTTCAAATACAGAAACATCTGATTTGGACATCAAATGAACTATGAGCTTACATGAACCGAGTGAGTAATTAGTATATGATGCATGTTACAGCAATAGAAGCATTGTCTCTAATGCCTTCCAGTTTGTGGAATTAGAATATCAACAATCTAAAAATATAGTGTTCCAGATAAGTGCTTCTTTGTTTGTGAAAGGATTTTCTTTTTCTCTCTATCCATAACAACTTAGTTCTTTCTTGTAACAGTTGAGAGAGCAGTGGACAGCAGAGGAACATAACGGAATAGACATCTCAAACCACATCGGAAAAATTGAGTAGGTCCAGCTTTTAATGCCTTACCCAAAATTTATCATTTTTGTTTGTTATGGCGGCCAACGGAAGTTATGGCTACAGATGATATGCCAGACTGCAGGTAGTATTAGTCATGTAATTCATATCGAGTTAGATCCTCCTCCATTATTCTATTATTGTATCAAAGTCACACTACTTGTACTAACGAATTGTTTTTGACCTATTTATCGGGAACTTTAATGAATTAGTTGAAACCTTCATTCAGTGCCAATCCCAGTTACATAACATTAATAAAATGTAGCAATTATCTACTTTCTGAACCTCTTCATTCAACTAAGGTTTTGTTTGGGATGACTTTCTTACTACTTCTTTTAAAAAATTTTGTACTAAAAAGCTGCTTTAAGAAGTAGTAAGAAAGTCATCTCAAACAAAACTTAAAGCTTGATATGATAATACGGCATTAAGTGCATATGAAGTTATTATTATTCTTGCAAAAATGATTAAGGCTTCGTTTGGGATGGCTTTCTTACTACTTTTTAAAGCGGCTTTCTAGTTAAAAAAAGAATAATTTTTGTACTAGAAAGCTGCTTTAAGAAGCAGGAAGAAAGCCGTCCCAAACGAAGACTAAATCAATGGTGCAACATATTTCTTGATCCAATCACTAGAAACTCAATTCTTCATAAGAAAACAATTAAATTGTAAAATTCCTAACAGTAAACTTTCATTAATTGAGATCCCAGTATGTTAACCTTTAGCATAGTTGATAAAAACATTATCAAGCCAGTTTGCTAAGCAATCCAATTCTCTTGTTAAGTAAAGAAGTATTCCCTCTTTTCAGTGAGTGCTTCTGAAAGTAATATTCAAATATGTAGATTTTGTATCATAATATTTTATGATGAGCAAATCCTACTTATCTTTCATTAGATTTTTTTACTGTGTATACTTTTCAGCTGTATTGTTCTTTGACTTTAATTTTTTTTTTTAATGGTGGTGTAAGGTTTTAAAGAGTTAGCAAATAGAGAGGATTTGTGAGAGAAGCAGATTACTACAGCATCTTTGTTCTCTTCTATTTCACTAAGTTTAGATTTTTGGAGCAACAACATAACTAATGCATTGATGGTCATTATGATCATTGGAATATGTTGAGGGGAAGACTTGTTAAGATATAAGGAATAGCATAACCAATATGTGGAGAATAGAGCTAGAATGGTAGAAATTAAGGCTTCGTTTGGGACTGCTTTTTTATTGCTTTCTAAAACTCCGTTTTAGTACAAAAATAAAAAAATTTGTACTAAAACTCCGTTTTAAAAAGCAGTAAAAAAACCGTCCCAAACAAAGCCTAAATGATGATTTAGGTTTTATTTGTGACGGTTTTTTTATTGCTTTCTAAAACATTTATTTAATACAAAAAATTTTCTCAAGAAAAAATTGTAAAAAAAACTGTTTTAAAAATAGTAAGAAAGTTGTCTCAAATCAAACCTGATTAAAAAACAATATGGATGATATGAGGGTATCTTTTTGTATAGAAGATTCTAGAAGGAAAGATGAGAAAAGAGGTTGTTGAGATGGGATAAACTAGTCTTATCTGAACTCGTATAAAATATTCATAAAAAGTTATGTTATTAATTTTAAGATTTTAAAATTAAAACTAAAGAGAATCTGATTCGTCGGTATATTAAAGGATATGTATCCCCTAATATTGCAATCTTGTATACCTCTAGAGAAACTTTTAATAAAGGAGCTATACTTATATTTTGATTTGATTTAATAAACATCAAAGGAATATATTATGATTGAAAAGCATTGTCATTATAGGATAGTCTATGCTTCAAGATAAGTCATACCAATAGGTAGAGGGTGAATCGTCATATTCAAGTAAATAACAACCTTTTCACGTAAAAAATTTTATGCATTAGTCAAAAGTAGTGAATGGGCCAAAAGGGTTTTATTTGATAAATCTAAAAATATATAGAAATGACTCTATGAAGATTTCATGGCTCCATCATTACAAGTGAACAAGCTTGACGGCACTTGGATATAAACATAGTTGACCCAGCCTTATAATGAAATACTTTATATATCAACAATAATGAATTGTATCATAGCAAAGAGCCTCGTAATCTCAATTTAACGAAGAGACTTTGATTCATAGAAAAATAAATATGTCCCATAGTTCTTGAAAGAATGTATGGCTTATAAGCCTTAGCATTAAAAAGAAAAGCTAGAGAAAGAGTAGAAATGGATATCTCATCTATGGAGTCAAAATTATCCCATTTGACTTATAGTCTTATATGGATCAAGACTAGCATTGCATAAGTGTATTTCTAAATAATCATATAAGTATGTTTAATTAAAGTGTGATGTGGTGTATTATAAATGATGGATTGTTTTAAACAATTTTTTTAATGATTTGTTGGCCGCTATAGAGATTATCTAATATCCCTGAGAAAACCTAGGGTTGAATATGGAGTGTAGGGATATGGTGGGGCGGTTAGAGTTGGTCAAATAAGAATATACCTTCTTGCACTTAGGAAATTAGGATTTGCAAGTGAGTAAATCTAATGAGCTTAACCTTTGGAAATGGTAGATGGGTGTTTCTTGTTGAGTTCTAGAGTTTGTGGTTATTTTGCTTCACACATGCCCATATTTCCTTAAAATTTTCCTATGAAATATGGTCAAAAAACACTTGAAAGTGGTGTTGGGATGTTTAAAATTTTCATATGAAATATGACATGGGGAGGCTTTTCCTACTTATCCTATTTATCTAGAATTTCATTTGATTTATCATGAGCATAATGATAAGCCTTTATCTTTGGTAAGTCATTTTGTAGTTTCAAATGGATACTTATTTAGATATAAATATTTGAGTATTCCTAAAACATCCCTTGGAGATTTTATGATACTAGAGCGACATTCTAAAAGAATTATAATACATTGAGGAATAGATAAGATAATCAATATTATTGAGAGTAGATTTTATTGGCCCTTCATCAAGAAAGATATGGATAGGATTGTTGTTGGATGTTTTATTTACAAGTAGACAAAAGCAATAAAATAAAAAGAGAAGAATTATATTGCTTTGTCTATACTATGTAAACCTTTGGAGAACCTTCTAATGAATTTTGTTTTGAGTTTATTTATGACACCCATGAGTGTAGATAGCATTTTTTTAGTGGCTAATTCCTGCCTCATACTTCAAAAAAAAAAAAAAAAAAAGGAAATCTACCTAGTTTATTAATAATGACCTATTTTACACTAAAAATACCTGGTTTCAATTTTGCCCTCTCCTAACCTATAAAAATCACTTAAAATTTTATTTAAAACTCAAAATATACTATAAAAACTTCTCTCTATAACATGTAAGTGATTTCAAGTTATTTGGCCATTCTAAATACAAACCCTAACACAAGATTGAACTTCCTACTATCAAACAAGGAGAATAATTCTCTCTTGGCCAAACCTAATTAGGACATTTCTTAGCTTAACTACACTACATTCATTCCTAGGGTCACCAAGCATCCATACATCACTCTTATACAAATCACTACAAATCACATCTGATTGGGAAGGAATCACATCTTTTTCAAATACTCAGCCACCTCTTCATAAAATTACTGAGAAAATAAAGTATGCTATAAGACGTACATAGAAGTAAAGAACATAGAATGATACTTTACCATAGATATTCAACTCCGCCTTTATATTGATCGTTAATTATAGATGAATAAATGACATAATAATTTTTCCTACTTCATCTTTCTCGCCTCTTATATTTGGCCTCCTTATAATGATCTTCATAACCATGATTTTGACTGACCTGATTCTCGAATATTATATCAGACTAGTCCTTTGCCATAATAACAGAACCAATAATTGTTACACCTCAAAAATTTATATTTTGAGGCCCTCTCCTATCTCTTGATAGTGGCATGATAGATCTCAAGTTAGTTTTTTTTTTTTTCCTCTCTCAAAATGTTACTTTGATCTTTTAATAGTAATGTATTGGCATAAGTTTATATTTTTTAATAATTTTTTTTTTTAAATTTACTTTACAGATCTGTACTTGCAACTTTTCGTAAAGCCCACAGCAGATTCGTTAGCTGTTCTAAAGAAAAATACAAAAAGTAAAGGGTCCATACTGTAAAAATCCACGGCTCTGAAGCATGAATTTTTGAACCTTAGTGACCGTATCCGAGGCAGCTTGGTCCACCTTGATCGAACGGCTCTGATCACTCCATTTGCCCATCAGACGGATCAAAAAATTGCATTAATGCAGTTGGTGGCATCCTATGAGATTGTCGGAGGGGAATAAATTTCTTAAGAATACTGACGTGTGTAAAAAATAAATAAATCTTTCTTTTTGGAAAAAAATTAAAAATATATATGTATTGGTGAAATTTTTTTGGTAATTAATTAGATAAATATGTATGTAATAATATCTAAAATTTATCAACATCTTAAATAGTAAAATTTATAAGCTTCAAATAGAATATTTTTTTTTATATTTTACAAATTAAATGAATAGAACAAATAAAGTTATAAATAATAACAAAGTTATACTATAATTTTATCTAATTTAGATTTAAAATCGAATTTTATTAATTATATATTTGATACAAATGATTTAAATGTATAATTTAATTACTAAATATGTTTCAATTCATAGATGTTAATAAAAATTGAAATAATTTATTAAATATTAATTAAGTTATTAAGGGAAGTTTAAATATTAATAAAAAATAATTTAAATTTATCCATCAAAATTTTAATTCTTATGTATATATATTAGTGCTCTTTTCTTTAGAAAAATGTCTCTTCTTCAGCTTGAAGATGAAAAAAGCTTCCTCGACAGGCCAAAAGCTTGATGGAATCAAACTGATTTGTTCAAGCTTTAATGGCCATTGTTGTAAGAAACAAGCTTGTTATCGGTATAAGAAAGACATAACTTATGCCAATGTTAAATAATAAAAATATCTGTGTAGAAAATCATTTCTATTGTTTCATATACATATGCATGCAAAGGTATCTTACTATTAATATCATATAATATGAAAATTTTCTTATATGTTATGTTTGTATCAAATCACATCATGTCTCGGTGGCTATATTTATAGGTCGTATCATGGAGAAATTATTCTGTGCAGTCACTAAAAGGTTCAAAGGCGAATTAGAACGCGTCATGTCACTCGGTACTGAGCTATACATAGATGTGGTACACAACAAAAAAATGACGTGGTGCGTTCTCATTCGCCTCTGAACGCCGT